GAATCACACCAGAGTCAAGTCTCGTGAGATCACACCGCCACAAAAGGAGTAATCAGGGTGAGCAGCGGCCACCTCGGCTGCGGCAAGTTGCGAGTGTTTAGGTTTAAACTCTAGATGAGTCTTCAGGGCTGCCTGCAGCTGGGAGAGGGGAGCAGTCCAGCCGCCCTGCACGCCAGGGTGCTGCCAGGACCACAGCGCCTTCCGACACCCCAGTAATCGCCGCCTGCTCAGTGCAGTGATTCCAAGGCGAGGTGTGTGCCTGCTTTAAAGCAGGGCCCTGGATGGCCACTGGCCCACAGCTCCTGCTAACTGCATACAAGCTCCTTGTCATCAAGAAGGTTTCCTTACTCCGAATATCCACATCAGCAAAAGTGCACATCATTTCTCGGCCATACACCAAGTTGCTGGCCGGGCGACGGTTGCCGCGTGCCCGGGCCAGCAGCAATGCCACCCCGCGCCTGGGCAAGGCCCCACTCACTTGTCACGGCGATGTTGATTTCTCCTGTGCGTGGAGTGAGCTCCCCGTCCTGAGGAAGAGGCGAGATCCCCGAAGTGCGAAGCGGCTCCAGGCTGAGCGCGCTGTCGCCGGCAAGGTCACCGAGGGCTGATCTTCGGTTAACCGCCTGGGTTCTGGTGAGCCTTTCCATGTCAAACGCTACATTATCAGTACATGGCAAATTTGGCTGCAAAATATTTCCAGGTTAGAAACAATTGTAAGGATAACAAACCCCGTCATAAAATTCCAACAGTCTGACGCCTCAAGCAAAGGCCTCAGCGTCTCCAGGCACCGGATTCGCGCTTCCCTGCCCGCAGACCCTCACCCGAGAGCTCTGCAAGAGAAGGCTTCCTCTGAAACGGCACGAAGGGGCTGAGTCCACTGTGGGTCTGCGAAGGGCAGCCACTCAGTTTTGTGCCCACGGCCCACAGGCAGAGGCACTCATCGCTAGCACACACTTCCACTTGTTTATTATTTTTGGCGTCGGAGTCTCACTCCATCACCCAGGCTGGAGGGCAGTGGCACGCTCACAGCCACCCCAGCATCGACCTGCTGGGCTCGGGCGATCCTTCCCCCTCAGCCTTCCAAGTAGCCTGAACTAAAGGCGTGCGCTACCATGCCCGGCTCATTTTTTTTTTAAATTTATTGTAGAGACTTCATCATGTTGCCTGGGCTGGTCTCAAACCCATCCTCCCACCCCAGCCTCCCGAAGTGCTGGGATGACAGGCTTGAGCCACTGTGCTTGGCCACTTTGGGAAACGCTGAGTGCTCACGGTGGGGACACCGGGTGACACCACATCTTTATCCTATTTATTTTTTCTGTGAAGCCCCAGTTATTGGGTATCTGTTTTAAAATGGCTTTCTGTCTTTAAATCCAAGTAAAGTACACAGCCAAGAGCAGATCACAGCTGAAGAGGCCTCTGCACCAGGGAAGATGATGCTTTAGTTCGAGCACTGATCCCGGAGGGGAGGGACAGAGCTGCCAGGCCCCAGTCCACCGACTGCAAGCGAGCACAGCAACTTCCCAGTGGCAGCGTGGGCGTCTGCCTCCCCTGGAACCCTGGTCCTTCAGCACGGGGGAGATGTCATGCATACGCGGGCTAAGTTGGGAGGGGTGGCGGGAACAGGCCTGGAAAGAGAAATGGCAGCTGACCAAACCCGAACCCGGGGCTTCTTGGGCAAAAGTGCTTTCAGATCACCTCAAGGCCTGAGTAAAATCACAGCACAGGGATTTGATGCTTACAATGAAGTCTAGTTAGAAGAGGTTTCGTATGGTTATTATATACAAGTTACCATATATTTAAGTAATCTGCAATACATTTTAGAAGCGTTTTTATTAAAAGCAGAGGGGGAGGGTATTAGCCCTTTAAAGAACAGGCTTACCAAAAAAGCCCCCAGATGCCCCAGGAAGGCTGGAGGCAAAGACAGAGGGTCTGCACATGTTTTCCGTGCCTACACTGTGCCAGGCACGACGGCAAATGTCCCGTGCTACAGCAGTCTGAAAGGGGGCAACTCTGCCCCCGGGACATCTGGGGACACCTCTGGTCACTTGTTGTGCTGGGCGCTGTGCTGCTGGCATCTGGTGGCAGAGGCTGGGCTGCTGCTGAGCACGGGAAGGAACTGTCCAGACCACAGTGCCAGCAAGGCCTGACACGCTGAGAAGACTGAGTTAGAGAGCGCCCTCACTGCTGAGGTCTCTGGCCACAGAGACAGACGGACCTTCCCGGCCCCCTGCAGGGTGGCTTGTAATGGGAGGGCTTCTCAGGCCTACTCTGGGCTGCAGGTAGGAACGAGGAGTTCAGCTCTTGGATCCATAAGGAGACTATTCACCCATCTTTTTTGAGAATAGCAAGTATTTTATTTTCCTGTAAGAAGCACAGCCCTGAATCTATCTTTTCTTAAGTAAGAACGTACAGAAGTCTCTGCGACCCTAGGGTAGTCAAGTGAGCCCTGACCTGGGGCCTCCCAGATGGAGCCCACGGCGGCCCCGGCCACAGTCCCCGCAGGCCGCAGTTGCTCTCTGGGGTGGGGGTCCCACCCACCTTCCCTGCCTAGGAGGCCAGAGTCAAGCTCTCGGGAAGGGACGCCTGCAGTGATGTAATTTTACATCGTGGCAGACGCAGAAGAGTTGCGACTGGCCCAGAGGCGGCGGCCTTGCTCTGTTCTCCTAAGAGCACCAGAGCGTGGGAACCCCCGCCCCCTCCCCCCCACGTGGACCCCTCGCCCTGCTCCCAAGTGCAGCACACGCTCACTCTGGCGAGGAGACTGGACAGTCCCCGGCCTCCATTCCGGAGCTCGCCGACAGGGTCAGACTCGCAAGCAGCCCGGAAGCAAGGCGCGGCAGGTAACAATGTTGTCGGCCAAGACAGCCAGGCTGCCCTGCGGGACTCAGTGACACCTCCTCCCATGATGCCAAGTGTCCAACACCCACCTGCCTGTAATAACTCAGACACACAGCAACAAGACAGGAAACATACCACCATTCCCAGGGCCTTCAATATGTTGAGTTTGCACATAGGACAGGTACAGTGTTCACTGAGCCAGGGGTCCACGCAGGATTTGTGGAAAACGTGCCTAAAAAATAACCAACAAGTAGGTCACAAATTACACACTGAAAAGCCATTAGGCCAACATGCAAAAAAACAGAACTTTTAATTCGTCCGTTTTCCCCCCTTTCAGGACATATTCACAAGTCTCCAGAGACAAATATTGGGGACTTATAAACATACAACCAGTAGAGCTGGGCACAGTGGGAGCTCTGGTCCCACTTGGCTATCAGGAGGCCAAGGTAGATTGCTTGAGCCCAGGAGTTGAGTCCAGCCTGGGCAACCCAGCGAGATCCTATCTCTTAAGAAACCAAAAAACAAAACCAGGCTCTAAGAAAATATGAACATATTCATTCATTCAAAAAATTTTAATTGGCTGTGTACTGTTTGCCAGGCGCTAGGAACATGGTAATGAACCCAAACAGACACCGTTCACACTCTCACTGAGCATAATCTGATGAAGAAAAAAATGCTACCAGGAGTCATTTCTTGTTGATGAAACAGAATTTACAATATAACTTGCAGCTTGCAGGTGGTCTGACGCCAACCTTACCTGTCACCAGCACTGTGTAATGAGAACCAGGGAGTAGGGTTTGGCCATGTGTACTTTTTTTTTGAGCTGGAGCCTCACTCTGTCGCCCAGACTGGAGTGCAGTGGCCGCTCCCGGCCACCGCAGCCTCGACCTGCTGGGCTCTGGTGATTCTTCCGCCTCAGTCTTCCAAGTAGCTGGAACCACAGGCGTGTGCTACCACGCCCGGCTAATTTTTGATTTATTGTAGAGATGAGGTCTTGCCAAGTTACCCAGGCGGATCTCGAACCCGCGGGCTCAGGCAATCCACTCACCTCAGCCTCCCAAAGCATAGGATTACAGGCTGAGCCACCGAGTCCAGCTACATGTGCACTTTTTATTGTACCAATTCCAGAAAGGACTTGAGGCAACTCAAACAGATTCATTTATTTATTTGAGTCGGAGTCTCACTCTGTCGTCCAGGCTGCAGTGCAAGGGCAAGCTCATGGCCACCACAGCCTTGCCTGGTTGGGCTCTGGCGATCCTTCCACCACAGCCTTCCAAGTAGTTGGAACCACAGGTGTGTGCCACCATACCTGGCTAATTTTTTTGATTTATTGTGGAGATGAGGTCTCACCAAGTTACCCGGGTGGGTCTCGAACCCAAGGGCCTCAGGCAATCCACTCGCCTCGGCCTCCCAAAGTGCTGGGATTATAGATGTGAGCCACTGTGCCCGGCCCAAATTTATTAAGAGTAAAGATAATCATGTCATATATGTCAGTTATATGTTCTATGCTAGCCAGTGTAGAAAAACGGAATTTCAGAAAGATATTAAATGGAGGTTAAGTCAAAGAATTCTCTGTATCATTATTAGTTTCACAGAACTTTGCTTGAATGCCATTTAGAATTTACTTAGACACTTCTCAGTCACCTGCATGGGATTCTTGCGAAAGTGACAGGGCAGCGGGAGCCGCTTCAGGGCTGACCTGTGCCTCGGCTCAAAAAGCACTTGACTGGCGACCTGGGCTGGAGTGTTGAAGGGGAGGGGCGAGGGCAGGGTCATGGAGCGCCCGCTTCTTAGAGAAGGCGCGGGTGCCTGATGGAGAGAAGCGAGGCCTCGAGGCCTGCCGAAGCGACTCCCGATGCTCAGCTGTCTCTGACACGGGGAGGCGGCACCAGGACAGGTGCCCGGGCGGCTGAAGAAATACCACGGTCTGACTTTGAGACGAGATCTAAGAAATGTTCAGAAAGATACCGAATTGAACCATGGTATGCCTCTAAAACTTTGGTGGCAGGCCAGATGCGGTGGCTCACACCTGTAATGTCAGCACTTTGGGAGGCAGAGGTGAGAGAACTGCCTGAGCCTGTGGGTTCGAGACCAGCCCAGGCAACGTGGGGAGACCTCATCTGTACAATAAATCAAAAAATTAGCTGGGCGTGGTGGAACACGCCTGCAGTTCTGGCTACTTGGAAGGCTGAGGCGGAAGGATGGCCTGAGTCCAGCAGGAGGCTGCAGCGGCACCCCCCAGGCCAAGGCAGAGGGGCCCCAGCCAGCAGCTGAGGCGGAGCGACGTGCAGGGCTGGGGCAGTGCCCCCGGGAAGGAGGCTGCAGGCCTGTGCGTGGCCGGCCCCTGGGTCCGCGGTTCTCAGTTGGACATACTTCTGGGTGTCACAACAGCGTGTGGGGTGCGGCTGGCCCCTAGTGGGCGGAGGCCAAGGACGCCTGCCAAGCACTCCGCAAGCACAAGACGACCTCCCGACTCCCAAAGTGCGACCGGGTCCCAGTGTCCATGAGGTCCCAGCCAAGAAACACTGCCTTTGCCCTAAGGCTGTCACACACATCACCCAGAGAATGAAGCTAAGAGTGGCACTATTGCTACCGTGTTGGTGGGTGGATGCTGTGGTGAGAGGCTGTGCCCCAGTGAGAAGACGCTGCAGCTGCTGAGATATGGACGCAGGAGGCCCAGGTGGTGCTGGCTGCGTGCCCCGGGAGAGCCTGGCACGCCAGGGCCGTGGGTAGGCTAGTTGGGCAAGACCCCGCCCGAAATGCAACCCGGGCCGGGGCCGTGACTAGGGTGCCAAGAAGCTCCATCACGTTTGTCCTCAACTCTCATATTCACAAGCAGATTGCATATGCAATCTCGGGGGCGGGCACAGCCCCAGAAGTGGCCCAGCCAGGCCCTGGACCCCGTGGGGTGTGGCCTTGCAGCAAAGAACCACCCAGGAACCGTTAGACACACTCGCCTGGCTGCTCGGGGTGTTTCTGGAGGCTGCTCACCAACGCGGACGCAGCCAGGCTCAGCACACCCTGCACTGAACAAGGAAAGGAACGCTGAGGAACACTTGGCACAGTGATGCTGGGGGGTGGGAGGGCACGGGAGGGGAGCGGCTGCCAAACAGCCCACTGCCAAAGGAATACCAAAGAAATACCACGGTCTGACTTTGAGACGAGATCTAAGAAATGTTCAGAAAGATACCGAATTGAACCATGGTATGCCTCTAAAACTTTGGTGGCAGGCCAGATGCGGTGGCTCACACCTGTAATGTCAGCACTTTGGGAGGCAGAGGTGAGAGAACTGCCTGAGCCTGTGGGTTCGAGACCAGCCCAGCGCTCTCAGCTCAGCAGCAGCCTCGGACGGCATGGCAGGCTTTGTCCTCAGGCTCTAGGTAGCCCCGAGGGATCCTGGCTGAAACAGGAAGACAAAACTCGGGGAGACCATGGCTTTGGCCTAGTCGCTGGCGTTGCGGCGGGCAACCTTGCCGGACCTGTGGCCCGGGCATCTCCTCTGGCTTCCTGTGTTTAGACCGTCTCAGGCGACATGTGAAGACCTGGCTGTCAGAGTTGAGTTTGACAGGACAGCTCACGTGTAGTTTGCAGAATTTCCTTAATGTGGAAACCAGAATGGCTCAACTGCCAGCATCTTGGATGTCCGTATGATTGTATGATTCTTCTTCTCTTTTTTTTTTTTGAGTTGGAGTCTCACTCTGTCACCCAGACTGGAGTGCAGTGGCCGCTCCCTG